TGTATTTAATCCTGAAATTTAGTATTAGAGATCAATTCTGGGGAATGGTTTTAGAGATTAATCCAAGAAGTCCTCTTGCTCCTAGATATGTCAGTCTCTAATATAATCATAATCAGTAATAAAGTTGGGTAAGGTATATTCTAATCTCCAAATGCCAACTCCTTTGTCTTATTTCTTGATTGAACTCTAGGCACATAATGGTGGTGCTGGTTTTCAGGCTTCTAAAACATCCATGACGAAATACCTGGATGGGTAGTCCCCCAGCCAAGGATATCTATTAGAGGTGTCTCATTCTATCACCCTGCTCTACTTTGTCATTTGCTGCAAGCAGTCAGGGGGAAAGTGTGGCCTTGGTATAAACAGTGGATCAAAAGGTGTAACAGCTGGGCCCGTCAGTCAGTTGTCCTTCCCCAGTAGGTTCCCTTTTCATTCTTTATCGAAATTGTTTTCATAACTCCATGAGAGTGTGTGTGTGTTACTTTATGAAATTAAGGTAGATATACAAGTGTTTCTACAAGGACATGTCACACAGGTAACATTGTACGTGTGTAATTTATTACATATATATGTAAGAATTTGATGCACTAAATATTTACATACAAAATCTTATTAGGCCACATCAAGTCATATATATTGGGGTAAAAGTCTCCCACGTACACACCACAGAGAAATGTAGATTCAATTCTTGATATGGCCACTTGCCAACTTTATATAGAATTTATATGAGGAATAAAAGAGATAAGTATGAACGTTTTATAAATTACCAGACACTAATCACATGTTAATTACTATTATGACATATTTATCATTATGTCAGATCAACCTATTTCAGGTGTCTCTGTCTAGCATGCCCTAAATGTGTTTAGATGTAACAAATTAAAAAAACAAAATAACTAAGACGAATATATATGATAAAAGCTTGGTACAACCATTAAAATAAATATAAGTGGGTGTCACAAACCCATGTTTATATATTGCAGCATCCAGCCATCTCAAGAACTACCAGCCTTACAAACTGGACCCTAGAAGAAAATAAGCCTGAGCCTCTAGACCTAGAATAGGAACAATAGAAAGTTAATCCAAAAATAAATATAACAGGCGGTACAATAAGAATTCTAGTACCGTCTGAAAACCCAACTTCAATACTAAGTAATGTCTTTATTATTCTACAGGGAATTGTGGACTCTCCTCCTTCCTTCATCTTGACCTCTAGCCATTTCGTTGCTCTTTAACACTGCTAAGACTTTGCAGAAGGAATTCCAGGAAGTTTCTTAAAACAAGTTAGTACAAGTCTTTTATTCCACAATTAGAGTTAAGCTTTTAGATGCAGATGGTGTAAAAACACCTTCAAACTTCCATTAAAAGGTACACAACTGATATTGGGCAGAGTGGTATTGCCTGGGTGAGGTGTGAAGATGGTGCACATGTTGTGGGGATAGTGTGGGAAGGAAATATGTATACTTCAGAAAAGTGAGCTCCTAAAGATTAAAAAAAAAAAAAAAAAAAAAAGAGTGAAATCAGTAAGTGGGTACTAGATGCAGAGGTATTTGTATACCCATGTTCATAGCAGCCTTACTCTCAATAGCCAACAGGTAAAAGCACCTCAACAGATGATGGGTAAACAAAATATGATATATACATACAATGGAATAGCATTCAGTCTTTAAAGGATGAAAATTCTGACATATGCTACTATATCAAGGAACCTTAAAGACATTATTCTAAGTGAAATAAGCCAGTCACAAAAGGACAAATACATTATGATTCCACTTACACCTAAAGTAGCTGAATTTATAGTCAGAAAGGTAGCCAGGGACTGTGGGGAGGAAGGAATTGTTTAGTTTACAGAGTTTCAGTTTTGAAAGATGAAAAGAGTTCTGTAAATGCATAGTAGTGATTGTTGCATAAGGTGAATATGGTAGTTTTATGTCATTTGGATTTCATCACAATTAAAAATTAGTATTGTATTTTTAACCTGACTGGTATTACTCAGTGGTTGAGCATCAACCTATGAACCAAGAGGTCATGGTTCAATTCCCGGTCAGAGTACACGTCCAGGTTTCAGGCTCCATCTCCAGTAAGAGTGCAGGAGGCAGCCAATCAGTGATTCTCTCTCATCATTGATGTTCCTCTCTCTCCCACTCACTTTCTCTCTCTGAAATCAATAAAAACATATTTTTTAAAAGAACTAGGTTTTTTTTAAACAAGATAAGGGAAACAACTTTACTATTTTATGACTTTGCCTATGCTGATTCCAATTTCTTCTACCAAAGGGTTAGAAGGGAACTTTTTAAATTAATTATAAACTACTATTAACTGTTCAGAACTGCAAATTGAGTAAAAAATAATAATGCTAGATCAGTTGAGATTGAAAGAAAATGTCATTCAAGTTGCATTATTGTATTGTGAGTTAAATTGTGAAGAGTCCATGTTTTATTCTTCTATACATTCTTTTTTATATAATTTTTTTAAATTGATTTCAGAGAGGAAGGGAGATAGAAATATCAATAATACAGAATCATCAATTGGTTCCTCCTACATGCCTCCCTACTGGAGATCAAGTACAAAACCTGGGCATGTGCTATGACTGGGAATTGAACCATGACTTCCTGATTCATGTATCAATGCTCAACCACTGATCCACACCAGCCAGACTATTTTTTACATTTTTTAAAAATATATTTTTATTTATTTCAGAGAGGGGGAGGGAAAGGGAGAGAGAAACATTAATGATGAGAGGGAATCATTGATTGGCTGCCTCCTACATGTTGGACTGTGTCTGCAACCCAGGTATGTGCTCTACACCAGAACTGAACCTAGGACCCTTTGGTCCACAGGCCAATGCTCTATCCACTGAGCCAAACCTGCTAGGGCTTTTTTACATCCTTAAAAATAATTAAAGTCGCATCCATTTATTGCTTTAAACATAGAAAATGCTTAAATTGAGGCACAAGTTTGATTTAATGTCAATGACAGTGTCCTTTGAAGACTGTGGTCAAATAATAACTTTTATGGAAGAAAAATGATTGATTAAAAGAAACAAAAAGCCAATCGCAAAAGTCTCATTGTGTGGCTGATGGTAGAGCTGGTAGGTTTGAAATTCAGAGAACTCACCATTACAATAGAATTGATGCATGGTATGATAATAAAATTACCAAGTAAAGTATTAACCCTCATAAATGTTCAGGAGGTATAAAGTTCTAGACACTGGTAATATGAGGAAAACCACTAATACCCATAGCCAACTGGGATTCGACTAATGAGATTAAAATGATATAGAGGACAGAAAAAAGCATCCTGAAATGTTCACTGAGCACAAGAAGGACATAATTGACAAATGTAAGCATTCAAGAGGCTACAATAGAGTAAGACAGAAAAATCCATGTTTGGATTAAGAAGGCCTTCCTTGAGGTTTGTTTCTTTACATGGATTTATTATTTTCATCCCTTACCTTGCAGCAGTTAGATTTCAATGCTGTTTACATTTAACACATGACAAAAATGTAAATTCCTGAGAGAAAGATAAAAATAACTGTATAAAGCAAAGATGGGGGGGAGGGGCAGAGTGAGGGTCTGTCTCTGACCCCAGGGCATTCATGCCTGGATATAACTTTTCCACTTAATGATAATCAACAGTTATTGGGATCTCTGCCTGCTTTCATTTTCTTTTCCTCTGGCAAACTTCCATTTGCTCTGGCTCTTGCAATAGTAGTAAAAAATAAGTAAATTTGACTCAACAAAACCAAGTATTTTACAAATACAAACTGAAAATCAACCTAAGGTTTCGCCTGTTTTTGAAACCAATGCTAATTTTAAGCAACAATGCAGATAACCCCAGGAGATTTACATGAGCTCATCAGTAGCAAAATCATTTCTAAATAAGTTTAAATGTTTTCCAGAGCAAGAAAGAAACTCTTTAAACTCCTGACTTTCTTGGCACATTTCACACACCCACCTAATGTTCTTGTTATCCAAACCAGAGCAGAGCTGAAAGTAAACTCACTCCAAGGCAAAATTAAAAGGTGAGATATTTGGCTCTTGATTTTGTGTTGAAATGACTATAACATCTTAGAACTTAACTTGGGGTCCACAGATGAGGTCTTCAGAGATACATTTAATAACTCTCATAAATATCTTACTTTATCAATCACATAGAACAGTCAACATTTTTTTTTTTTTTTTTTAGCAAAACAAGAAAGTAATAATGAACATAAAAAACAGAGGGGGCAGGAAACAGAAGGGAAAGGTTTAAGAAACAATAAGCCACCCCCATGCTGTGATAAACAACTGATGCCTTCAAGCAACTGGCTGCTGAAGCAATTTGAATAATAAGAGCTTTTAACTAGGCAAAGAGCTACATTGAAAACCTTCCATACTGGTGGAAAATGTGAGACACATGGACCAGCTGAGAGTCCTGGACCTCCTTTTAAATGCCTGCTGTCACCAGTCCTTAGGAAACAAAAGTAACACAAGAGAGCTTAAGAGACAGTCCAACCATGTACCATCATGATTTAAACACACTGCACCTTACGAGGGGAACCTGCGCTGGGCTCCTAGCAACCAAAAATCATAAAATGAAGGTTCAATAGAAAAAGGCAGCCTGAGGCCCTACATGCACATCCCCATCAGGGAAGGACACTGGACCCAGAGAGTTAAGAGATCCATTCTAAGAACCTATCTCATCATATGAACAAGATATTAAACTTCATTTCTCTTCAATTTAATTCAACTTTATCTACTCACACAAAATTATGATTCTGTAAACATGCAAATCTTCCCTATGATCTCCATAAAACTATTTTTGCCTCAGTCTTGAATAGCCATATTTACATGCCTTCCAAAATGCAAAATCTAAGGCATTGTGAAGGTTCTCCTGTGGCCGCCAGCAAACAGTATGAGCACTTGGAAATACAAAGAATCATAGAAAAATAAAGATCACATTTCATGAACACTAGCTTTTTCACCTAGACAGAGACAACTATTTACTTCAGCAAACATTGCGTCTTTTATAAGGCAGTGTCAATTTTATTGCTTTTGAAATAGTGTGTAAAGTGTAAAACTTTACAATTTGCACATAAGCAATTTCCAACTTTAAGTTTAAATATATGGTGAGAAGTACATGCATATGAATATAAATCTTTTAATCACCATCATTTACATTAGAAATTTCTTTATACAAACAACTTTTTTTTTCCTTAAAAAAAAAAAATTAGCAACTGGTAAAAACCCTCTGAGACTGCAGAAAATCCAGCTTTCCATTTCAGCAGGCTTTCACTGAGAGATGTGAGTGATGGCAGATGAAGGCCTCTTGAGAATAGACTCAACAGAAAATGACAGCGGTTCATTCACCGAGAGTTTTGTTCCAACTTGTTTGGCTACAAAAAGGTCTTTTGCGCATCTATCTATTGTAAATGTGTACTTCTGGTTCTCCTTGACTAAACACTCTCTGTGTTTCTTAGGGGCCTCTTCAAAGGCCTCTTTGACAAATGGTGTTTTCAACTCAGGGCCTGATTTGTCATTAAGAGTTTGCTGGAATAGTGAGTGGAATGGATTATGTTTAAGTGGCAGAGGGTGCCTGGTGCTTTCTTTGCTGATCTTGGTTAAGATGTGCCCTTGAGCTGCCAGGGAGTCCGTGTCAACAACTGGAGAGAAATTCCGTCGGGGTGGGGAGAATGCAGACCTCTCGGGGACAGCCTGGTGACCCTGAAGGTCACTTCTTGAGGTCTGGACCTCGGGAGTGTGAGGCAGCACCAGAGAGCCCTCCAATTTGGGTGGCATCACGTCGTGTTCGGCACTGAGTCCATCCTGGACTGGTACTCCCTTCAAGTCCCAGCTGGCCCCAGATTTCAGGGCTTGAACCGAGGTGGTGGTGTTTAGCAGGCATTGCTGGTAGAGGAGAGTGTCACTAATGGGGCCACACTTGGGCCAAACTAAAAATCTCGAGGACAAGGGATACTGTCTGTAAGTCGTGGCCACACTGACATTTGAAGAAATTAGCTCCATATTCCCAGACCCTGAATACTGCATGGTTAGATCAAGACAGGTGGGCAAAAAATTACAGAAGTCTTTGCTTGGCGGTTCCACTGGGGTGGGGCTGTAGGCACTTTTGTAGTTGTATTCAGGTCCGTGCACCATGCGGTTCGGCAGGAACAAGGCAGCAGCTTGGGAAGCTTCCAGCATCTCCCTCTCTTTATATTCTCTCTCCAGCATAATGTTCTCCAACTCTTTATCAGCAAAGGCCCGCCTTTTCCTCATCCGGTCACTTACTGGGGGAGGTAGAGGTAAGCTCCCTCCCACATAAGTCTCTGCTGGAATGGGGCGGTAGCCTAGAGTAAGCAAGCATTGCACATGAAAGAGATTAACATCTAGGAAAGAAAAATCTGGAAACCCAAAGGCAACAGAAACACTGCAAATTGGCAGAACAAATGTTTACAGTTCTGTATCACTAACATTTTTATTCAGAAAGCAAAAGTATCGGTTCAATTTAAAATTGTTCCCTTTGGGGGAAAGATATATGTGTTGTAACTTTTTGTTATTGTTTCTGTAGTTCTAAGTGTGTTTGTTTATTTTGACAAGTGTACTTTACTGGCTGAAATTTCAATATTCTTTCCCGGCTCCTACACATTAAGAAATAAGGCTGCTGATCTTACTTCAATCGATTATTTATTATTATTCATATCATCTCATTCCATTATTAAAAAGATATCTATACCTAGAGCTGATGTCACTTAGTTCTAAAGATGGCTCATTATGTACATTGTAACAGTTGGAGTATAATCCAAGGAGAACTAGGAAAAAAGAGAAAGTTAAAGCAGATTAGTGAGGAGAAAAACAGAAAAGACATAGGAAACAGGGAAAAACAGAAAACTAAAAAGAGCTGTTAACTAGTCAGATTCTTCAGTGAACTTTGAACCAGGCCGCTACCCCTGACTACTATACTAGTACAAACAAACAAACAAAAGTGGGGGCCAGGCATTGAGATAACCTAATTGAAAATAACTAATACTCATTTTTCCCAAGCACTAATCATGTTGGCCAGATACCCAAATGGTAGAACATGCAATCATTAGAACATAGGTTAAGTCATTGCACACTTTATGAAGTCAAAACCAAAAATCAGTATAACAACATAAATAGAATTCCTGGTAGCATGAAATGCTTTCATCATCCCCACGCCACTATCAAATCTGTTTGAAGGATCCATTGTAATGTTTTTGTTTACATAGTGACAAACCCATCATACTCATTTGCAAAGAAAATAAATGTGAAAATCAATGTTTCCTTTTCTATAGTAGGGGTTTTTTTTCCAGGAAGTTATTTACTTAAATTTACTATTCCATTTCATCCTCCCACTTCTCAAATTGCATTGGCACAATTTCAGTTTATTAGTGTGATCCCTCTGGTTATAAAATTTGTTTAGCCAGTTTGTAATCAAATTAACTTTTAATGCATCAGAAACTATTCTAAGGTCAGAAGTGCACAGCACAGGGTAAGACATAAACAAAATTTCAAGCCTGTCCAGAACAAACTCAATTCAGAAGCCACATAAGAAAAAACAAAATTCAAATGTCTTCTTAAAAAAATCTGCTATCAACCTGATTCTTTTGATGTGACAATTAGAGCAAATATAAACTTTTCTTTTCCTTAAATGGTGAAAGATAGTTGGTATATTATTTATCAGATCAATAAATAAATTCCAGACCCAAACAGAGATGCTTTGAAAAATCAGTAATATTTGAAGAAAAATTAATGTATCCCCAGGCTTTAGAGAAAGTGAAAACATGGAGTTAGAAACTTCACACTGTTTAAATTTAATTTCAACTTCACTTGTTTGATTCTACAATCTCAATTACCAAAATGATAAATAAAATGGGGAATAACCACAAGTTACAGATAATCCAGGAGGAAAATGGTAAAATGAAAAGAGTGCAATCAGGTTGGATCACCCAGACTAAAAGTCTTTGTTAGTGTGGGTACTGTTAAACTCCTTACTTAACGTTCAGCTCCAACATCGAAGTAATTGTTTTAAACTTATTTCCTTTCAGGACATCTGCCCTGAATCACTTGGGAGTGTGTATCTTTGTACACCGCTCCGCTCACACTAGGGCAAATTTCACATGCACTCGATCTTAACCCAACAAAATTATCAGTGACAAAAACAACAGGAGGTGTGTGAGATTCATTTTCTCACAACCTGATTTCTTCCCTCCAAACAAAACCTTCAAATAAAAGGTATATTCTCCTCAGCTTACTCCTTCCAAAGTTAATAAAAATGCCATACAGCCAGAATGATGAGAATCATTCAGAACCTGCTTTCAAAGACTAAAGGGATGACTTTGCATTGCTTTACCTTCTAAAATACTTTTGGCCAGCAGACTGGGTGCCCTCACTTGCCTCTGATACACGGCTTTGCGCTCGAAATTATTCTGTTTCCCGGAAAGCCCCTTCTTGTCCTGTAAACACAAGAAACATAATCATCAGTGCCCTGAAGAGAAAAGAGAGGGAAAAGGTGTCAGCAACTCTCCCCAACCTTAATATACTTAATTTTCCTATCCCTTGTGAAAACTATTCCCAACTTATTATGAACACGCCTTAATCCCAGGGCAACCAGCTAGTTCTGTCCGAAGCCACGCACTGGGAACGTGGGTCCCGGCTTCCTCTGGGGCTGCTTTGCTGGGATCATCCTGGACACACAGAAGTGGGGGGACATCCCGGAGGAAGGAAGTCCAGTGGAGCAGATGGGGGGAGCCCAGCCTGAAACCGAACCGGGTCCTCTGCGGCCAGAGATGGGGGTAAAGTTGCAAAAGACCTGCCACTGGGTAGTGACTCGAGCTGGTTTCTCCTCAGCAGGACAGGGTGGAGGGAGAGAGATGAGGGTCCCTATGTCTTAGACTTCCTCGTCTGGCGGAAAACTCCAGACAGCTCACTGGGCGTCTGGGACACACCAAGGAGAACAAAACCCTCCGAACCCGAGCGAGTGGGGCGCAGCACAAGCCCTAGATGCCAGCCGGCCCTCCCACCTGGTGGGTCGGCTTCCGTGCCCTGCTAGGCCTCCGCCCAGCCCAGGAGGCCAGGCCTTGGGGAGCTAAGACAGGAGGGGCCCCAGCGAAACACACCAGGAGCTGGAGGAGGCCAGTCCGAACCCAGGGCAGGGCCAGGACAGGGGCGCCCAGCGCGCTCTCTCCGCGGCCCTTGGGATCCTGCTTTCCATGAGGGTCATTATTTCCCCTGTGTACTGTAATCCACTCCCTAACCAATCCTCGACAATAAATTATAAAATTTTATTTTAAAAAAACCTCTCCCTAGCCGGTTTGCTCAGTGGACAGAGCATGGGCTTGCGGACTGAAAGGTCCAGGGTTCAATTCCCATCAAGGGCGCCTTCCTCACCTGGGCTGTGGTCGGGCCCGTGCAGGAAGCAACCAATCCATGTTGTCTTTTCTCTCACATAGGTGTTTCTCTCTGTCTCTCCCTCTCCCTTCCACTCTCTAAAATTCAATAGAAAAATATCCTCCTCCGGTGAGTTAAAAAAAAAAAAAAAAAAAAACCCTTCCCCCGCCCTGAGTGCAGGAGAGGGCGCAGGTGCCTGAGCACGTGGGCCCATCCTTGATGCAAACTCCGTGCTCCTCGCTACGGGGGCCCACGGAGGGAGACGCAGGGACCCCTCCACCCACCCACCGGCGCTTAGGTAGTTCTCGCGGGACTAGAAACTTCTGGCCGCGTGGTCTTTAGAGTTGCTGACACCCAGCTTCCCACGCAACTTCCCATCTCGTCTGTAAAACGGGCGCCGCGCTCAGCTCAGCCTTCAAGACAGGGCCCGGGACGGCGAAAGCACCGGACCCTACCGGCTGCTTCTCGGCCATAGGCGATGGGAGGCTGGGCCCTGCACCAACCCCTCTCCTCCTCCACCTCCTCCTCCTCCCAGGCCAAATAAATGCTTCAAGTGTGAAAAATAAAATGCCTTCTTCCCGCAATGTCCCAAGCGGGCCTGAGCACTCTCAGGAGCCCCGGACAGCGTTTTTATTTCATCCTCACCTGAGGATAGTTTTGTTCATCCTCACCTGAGGATAGTTTTCCCCACTTTTAGAGAGTGAAAGGGGAGGGAGGGTTAAGAAGGGAAGGGAAGAGAGAAAGGAGGGCGAAACCCTTGGTTGCCTCCCGCAGGCGCGCCCCGACCGACCGGACCGGGCTCGAGCCTGTAACTCAGGGACCCACCCCTGGACCCCGGAATCAAACCCGCGAACCTCCGGAGCGCGCGGGCCGACGCTCTGACCATCGCGCACACCGGCTCGGGCCTGACTGCGTTTTAAAAACGCAAAATCTTTTCTACAAAGTTCCCGGGCCACGCCCAGGGCATCCTCCCTCCCGACCCCGCCGCCCGTCACCGGCAGAGAGAAGTGTTTTCCCAGGTCGCGGGCCGGGTGAGCAGGAGCAGCCTGCCCGCAGCGGCCGGCCCCTCCCCGCGGCCCCCGGTACGCACCTCGGTGGCCTGCTGCCTCCGGAGCGCCACCTGGGCGGCCATGACGCGCTGCCGCTCCACCACCAGCAGGCAGTTGGCGCACTGGCAGTCCCGCCAGCGGCAGAAGCGCTTGTGGCCCTTGAGGCAGGACACCACGCCGTGGTTGCGGCAGCGCGCGCACTTGGGCGTGCGGCTCAGCTTGCGCGGCTCCGCGCCGCCCGCGCCCGCGCCCGCGCCGCGCTCCGGGGGCCCCGCGGGGGCCGGCGAGGCCTGCGGCGGCTGCGATGGCCTCGGCGGGACGCCTCCTGGCTGCTGCTGCTGCTGCTGCTGCTGCTGCTGCTCCGGCCGCCCGGGCGCCCTTGGGGACGCGCCCGCCTCCTCGCCGTCGACCTCGTCCTCCACGTCGTCGTCCTCGTCCTCCACGTCCTCGTCCTCATCGTCCTCGCCGTCCCCGCTGGGCATCGGCGGCGGCGGCGGCGCCCCAAGGCCGTCCTCCTCCAGCTCCAGGCTCTCCACGTCGATCTCCCAGTCCCCGGCCGCCGGGCCCGCCTGCCGGTCGGCCATCGCGCGTGGCCCGCGCTCAGTCGCCTGCACCCTGTGAGACACGAGAGACCCCGAGACCCACAGGCCGTGATGAGGCACCATCCCCTGGCTATGGGCCTTGGACCCAGACCCCCTGCATCCCCTCAACGAGCCCTGCTCTTCCCCCCCGCTCCTGATAGCCAGGCCACACGTGCCTGCCTGGTATCTTTTGAGCCCCCGGACTCCCCTCCCTTCAGCCTAACAAGTTTTTATGCATTAATGCTAAGTGCTCCGTGAACACCGGACCTTTCACTGCAGCCTCTCTAGCTATACACGCTTTACAAATCACCTGTGTCCAGCGAGGCCAGCTTAGACCCCCTTCTCAAGTCTTTTCCCCTTCCCCAACTCCTATGGCCATGATGAGTATAAAAATGTCAATGAAAGAACTTATTTTCCTTTTGATCACAAGGGGCCCTTCAGAGAGGTACCGCCCTATAGTCCAAATGCCTCTCACCCTCCTCCATCACCACAAAGACTCCCTTCTTGGGCTTGGGCTTCTCCTCTCCCATGGCCGGGGACCCCGGCTAAGACGTGACTGACAGCCAAAGTGTTGGGAGTTGTCATTACAAGCCCCATAGGGCATAGGGCCGCTGGGAAGGGAGGTGCAGATGCCCTTCCAGCATCAGCAGTGCTTGGGCCTTGCTGCACTAAGCCATGGAGGCTCTATGCATTTAGGGCATGTTTTGCACTTTTAAGGCAAGGCTTTCAAGTACATTAGAAAAGATAATGAAGAGGTGGTTAGCACCCGTTACCCTCCCGGACACCCCAGCAACATCACAGCACTCACCAAGACTCTGAGGCCCGGGCTAGCAGCCCAGGCAAAAGAGATCCAACCTTGGGACCTGGCTCTTGAACTGCTGGCTGTGCTTGCAAACAGAAATCGGGGTCGTCACACCCTGCCACGAAACCGGGGGGCTGACAGCTGAAGGCCCGGAGCCCACCGGATGGGGAGTGGGGTAGCAAGGGGATGGAGAAGGTGAGTCAAGTCCTTACGGCCTCGCCCCACACATCCCGGTCTCTGCAAAGATCAGACCGGTCCTCTCTCGGCGGTCCCGGGGTGCTAAACCTCGCCGAAGCTACTTTCGGCTTCCGCGGCCCTAAGCTGGACGGGGAGGGTTCAGGCCGCCCAGGCCTGGCTCTGACCCCGGACTCGCGGGTGGGCGCACGCAGCGACCAGAGGCGCGGCGCTCCCCGCGGCAGTCTCCAGCCTCCGCTGCCTTTCCCAGTATTATCCGTTCCGGCCCCCGAACTTCGCGCCCGCTGATTGGCCAGTTGTCAGGCGGTGTGCACGCTGATTGGCTCAGGCGCGCCGCCCAGAGCTCCCCCGCCTGCCTCGCAGCCGCCACGCTCCGCCCCGCCCGGCCCCGCCAAGAGACTCCCGCCGCGGCCTTCGGTGCAGCCGGGTTGCGGGTACTGACGCTAAACCCGAAGCGAAACAGCGCCTTAGGGGTGAAATCGCCATTTATCTCCCCGACTAGAACACAAACACACTATTACGAAGAGCCTTGTCCACAAGAGGAGGTAATAGACTTGGCAGGCATAAAAAGGTTACTGTTGATCTCTGCGTTGTCAGCATCACCAACCAGTGTTTCTGCGACTCAGTCATTAACTCAGACTGGGTGCAAAATGACACCTCTCTAATCAGGTGCACAGCGCCATCCTACTTCCTTCTGCAAGACTAAATAAATACCTTGCATCGCAGCGGCGGATCCGCGGACAAACGACCTGTAGATAAATGTTTGTGGCTCGCCCCTCTCATCGAAATGCAAAGTTAACCATGCCCTTGAGACAGGCAGGTCGCCAAATCACCTAAGTCACAACGTTTTCCGGCTAAGTCAAATACTATTACAGTGGATTTGAAGGAGAACGGACTTGTCTTTTAAGAGATTTCCATAACACATGTTACCTCTAAGCATGTTTTTAAACGAAGCTTTTTAAAAAAAATTATTTTTAGTGTGCATGAATTTATAAAGAAAAAAACCTGTCTCCCTAAAAAAAATCATATATAAATGTTTCATAACAGTTACATTTACATGTGGAAAGGAATTAGTCTCCTAATTAAATGCTGCATTCTATATCTTGAAGTACACTTAAAAACACTTAGACGCTTTTCCAGTTAACACTTTTACATAATACCTCTCGGAATCAGTTTAGGAGACAGGTTAGGAAATCGAGTGCCATTGTACTGAGCACATAGTAGGCTGGCAACGATTATTTGGGAGTTAAAGGCAGGAAATTGCTGGACTGGATCGAACGTTGCTTTCCTGGGAGCCGCTTAGGAAGTGAGAAGTTAACAAAGCTCCGAGAATTTGGAAGGAGGCAGTCCGGGGAGGGAAACGCTGTGAAACTGATGCAATCCGCTGAAAGCGCAGGTATCCTCCAACCTTTGGCGAGTTTGGAAAGTCCTCCCAGGCGGCGACCAGGTGTGATTTCTCCGCAGAGTCGCTTGCGGCGGCGCCCAGTGAAGGAAGCAGAGCCACAGTCCGGTTCAGTCCTGCGGGCAGCTCCGCCGCGCTGGGCGCCTGGGCGGCTGACTTGGGAGCCCTGCAGGCTCAGACGTGAGACAGAGTCCACCGTGCGTGCCTCTCGCTCAGTCACACCAAAGGATTTTTACCTTTGGCTTAGCCGCCTGTACTTTACCAATGTTCATTTGGATTCTTGACTGCGGAAGAATTGTTATTTTCCCCCCCTCCCAGATTTTCCAGTGACGAAGCTGAGGTTTTAAAGAGGAGCCCTGGTCACGAGGTGGTCTCCGGGAGGGCAATGGGCTGGTGAGCACTTTGGCACTAGGTCGACCTCTGCTCTTAGGAAGTTCCTGGAGCCCCTCGCTACCAGCCAGAAAGACTCTCAACGGGTTCGGCGCCCCTGCTAATTTTAGTACCTGACGGTAGGAGCAGCCCTCCTGTAACAGGACAGGGCACGTTTTTTATCAACTCTTATGGTGTGTGTGTGTGTGTGTGTGTGTGTGTGTGTGTGTGTGTGTTTGTGTGTGTGTCCCTGTTAGTTACATTTCTGCCTTTGAAACCAAGCTCCACCGAGTGTATGCAATCTACAACACCCCCCTCGGCAGCTCCCTCCTCCCCGCAGGCTATGTGTACTCCAGTTGGCCAGCTGGGCTTTTATTAATTGCTTGGAGGGTGTGTGTGTGGGGGGGGGGGGGGCAGCAGGAGATGATTAGTCTTTCACCAGTTATTATGAAGATTAAGGAACAAAATCAAGAAAATAGATTTGTTAATTTGGGGTAACTAGATTGGGGAGAAGGGGGGACCGAGAGGGAACAGGAGGAGACATGGGCTTGAGCAGCTGTATACTAAAATAAAGCAGATGGGCAGCCCTCGAACTAGCTCCGAATTGTAAGAGCTGCTCTGCAAGGAGGAAGCAAGTGAGATTTGTGTACAGTAAACTAAAGGCTGAAGCCGTGCAGTTTCTGGCCCGGAGAGGGGGGAGTGGCTCCCCTCCTTCCACTTCCACCCCCCCCCAACTCCCGCCGCCCCCCATCATGAATGGATTGGGCCCAGGACCATTTCCTCCCAGGCAGGTTCTCCAAACCCCTCACAAAAATCCTATGCAACAGTCCCACCGCTTCCTCCAGAATTCCCTGCCCATCTCCCACTGCCCCCTTCTCCCCACTAGTCCTACCCTCCCGGCACCCCATCTTGTGCACCTGGGGGCGTACACCTGTCATCGCGATCCAGTGGAATTACAGTCCATTCCTTGGCCCTGAGAATCACGACGACACCCACTGCTGAGACGTGAAGTCGGGCGGGAGGGGAGGGTTGGAGATGAAGAACTTCGATATGAAATGCGAAATTACCCGCATTTTGGGGGGGAAATTAAAAAGGAATCTAAAGGTGCACAAACTGGTTAGCAGAGTAAATATGAGTCAGCGAGCCTGGGCTCAAGGCTGTTGGTTTCACCGATTGCGTGACCCTGGTCGATTCGTTTTCTGGGCCTCAGTTGCTCGCGTGCAAAACGGGGAGAGGGGCCCCCCTTGTCTTGGAGGTCCTGAGGACAGTAATAATGAGGATAGAGTCTCCACGTAGTAGGAGCTCAATTAACGTTTATTTATCCCAGAGGCGGCTAATAAGTAAATAACATTTATTTACCCCAGAACCTGGAGTTCTGGGAGGCCCCGCCTCCGTGTGCCTCTCGGGCTGAACCCAAAGGCGAGTGCGCAGGGAACCCTGCTCCTTTCCCAGATTCCTCTCTTAGAAGAGATCCTGCCACGGCTGGAGACCTGTGAGGTGAGGAAACGAACGTGCTTTGGGCTTGCAAACCGACACCAAAGTACAAAATGCCATTCGGAGCCCCTTCTGGTAGATCACAAAGCGATGGGGCCGCTGTTAGTGCGGCCGCTGCCTGCAGGCTCGGGCGGGGTGGTGCGGGTGGGGAGGGGGGAGGTTGCTTTTCTCCCAGCTGGCCGGCGCCGAGGCCCCCTTTCTCTCTCCCTGCCTTTCCCCCACATCTCTCTCACCCGCACCCCTTCCGGCCCCGGTGCGAAAGCCTTGCAGGTCCAGGGAGGGAACCTGAAAAATAAAGCTGGAAAGGCAAAGTTTTCCTCCCTCTTCTCTTTCTTGATGTGGAGGGCTTTATTTTCTTACCACAAGTACCACTACAAAAAAAAAGGGAAAAAGTATGTGTGTTTCAATTGGCTCCTGCTGACCCATCCACTCCCTGCTGTGAGTCCCAGCCGGCAGGTCCCTGGCCACCTCTGCAGGTCCTGGCCACCTCTGCAGCCTGGCCCAGCCATCTGTCATGCAGCTCATCAAACCCTCGGCCACTGGAGTTGAGCGGCCCTAGGTGGTTCTCGGGGCAGGGGATGAAGGGAAGAGGGTGTCTTGTCTTGGCTCCACACTGGCAATCCGGCTTGGAGGCCCAGAGCCCAAGTTTCAGACAGGACAGAGAGGGGTTAAAATGCCGGATTTGGTGCCTCTCAGCTGGGGTGCAGCGAAGAGGATCTTGACCCTCCCTTTGCGCTTCACTTTCCTCAGTGGAACTAACCTCAAAGGCAAGCTTCACTTTCCTCAGTGAAACTAACCTCAAAGGCAATAACGCTTGTAGACACCCCTGGCACAGTGACGGCCCCTGCTGAAGATTCAATACTTGGGAGCTATTGTGTGTGTGTGTGTGTCTTGTTACCCTTTTAACTGGCTGAGCTGACCTACAGGGTCTTGAGGCTCTAGTACCAGTTTCCTAGGCCCCAGGCCTAGGCCTGGAGACAGGCTGGGACGGGTGGGGGGGGTAGGGGGAGTACCCTGCCTCCACCACTAGCCTGGCTATCTCTACCTGCTGCTTGCACCGCCTAGGTGGGTGAGTGATTTGGGGAATTTCTGAGCAGCTCCATAGAAGTGCTTTACTCTGGCCTGGTTATGGCTCCGGTTTCTCAAGAACTGACCTCGAATCCACCTCCTCTCGCGGAAAGTTACTCTTAACATTGTGTATCGTCTCACAATTTTGACCGGCTGTGGACGCGGCGAAATAAATAATCCCAGATGGGATTGCAGAGATATGATTTCCCAATTTGCTTTGCGTAATGAAATATACGACCTGTCACAAGCATTGGGAGGCGGGGTGTGTGCGCTTGCGAGATATAGCTGTTCTCGAGGCCGTTAGAATTCTCTCGTTTTCTGCTCTGCGTATCCAAAACAAAAGGATTGGGGTGGGGGAACTGAAGAAAAGGACAATGCAATCTGGGCTCTCATCCCTCTTACGTGGGAATCAGGGTTTAAACTACAGGCATTTAAGATGCTCAGTGTGCACCCTACCCCTCAGTTCACAAAGCGGGGAGGAAAATGGAGGCTTAGAGACAAGTTCCTGGGATAAATACAGTATCCCCCCAAAAATGTATACACACTTTAAAGCTGATAACTCCATTTTGAAAATGAAATGTATTTTAATAAACACCGCCTTTATAATTATTCAAAGTGTGTGTATACATTTTTGGGGGGAGGGACACCCTATAGTGCCTACATGGGCCAAATAGGCCATAGTAATTTCAGCACCCTCCCTCCATGCCTTCATACAATTTTTTGAAGCAGGATCTGGAGTCAGATACTAGGATTATAAAGCAATCATGCAGCCCACCCACGCCACCACCAGGCAATTTCCATCCTCCATGCTGGGACACGTGCCTGTTTTCAGCTAGGAGATGAGGCAACCACAGGCCTCCTTGACTTCTCAGTACCCATTCCAAATAGTCATCAGGGGAGGTAGCGGGCCTGGGTTCCAGCCCAGGGGTGGATGATTCTCTTGCTGTGGAAGGCAGCCATCAGAGGGCATGTGGCTTGTGTCCACATGGGGAGGCCAGGCACACACAGGGGACTGCAGCCCTGTGCCTCCCTGGGGGACCTCATGATTAACCAAAACCGAACACTCTTAACCCTGAGAACTGTCCAGTCCTACTCCCATCCCATATTGGGGTTTAACATTTTATCTACACTGA